TTTTTTTTTTTTTTTTTTTTTTGATGGGGCAAATGAAAGCAAGTTCCCCCTCCAAACAGGGGCCAAGTTTTTGTTTTGTTGTTTGTAACACAAATGCAGAGCTAACCAACTGTACTTCTGGATGTTAAGGTTTATAGGATTTTTGCTTTTCATTTTCGCTGCATTTTGCTCATCCCAGAGTAAGAGATGCTGACCCCGTGTCTTTGGATATCTTTGTATTTACTTTCTAGCTTAGAGTTGTACAGTTGGGTTTGAAGGTTAGGTTTAGATTTCAACACGCTAAGCCGGCAGTCCTCAAAACTGTCTGGTATCAAGATTTGTAAAAATTAGAGCCCCAAAGAGCTTTTGTTTACATGGGTGATATCGATTGATGTTTGCTAACTAGAAGTTAAAACTGAGACATTTAAAAATATTTATTCATTTTAAAATACAAACCCATTAGATGTTATCTAAAGTATCTTTTATGAAAAACATTTCTTAAAAGAAGGAAAGAAAAAGAGAAGAGAGGGACACTGTTTTACATTTGCAAATCTGGTGCCTGCCTGCAGAAGCCCTCACAGGTTTCAAGCGCTACTAGAAAATAGGCGTCATCTGTGAGCCTGAGTGTTGGGGATGAGGTTGTCGTGGTTCAGATGCTGAGCCCTTAGCAGGGTGCTGGCATATCATTTGGTGGCTGACTAACAAAAGGGAAAGCAGCGGGGTCTGCACCAGGGGCCCCAGCTCAGGCGGCATGTGCTTGTGACTGCAGGAGTCTCAGGAGGCCTCCAGGAAAAGCACCCAAGAGATTGTGTCTTGGACACTGGTTCTCTTCCTCTTAGCGCAGCTTATCCACCGCCGCCACCCGTTTCCTCTGTCGTCCCTTCCTCCCTTCCTTTATTGCAGTAGATAGATAATTTGTGTGATGTGTCTTTGGTTAAAAATTATTTTTTACCTTCTTTCTTCCTTACATTTATTTGGTCATTTTAGACTGCAATAATGTAAGTAAAAATTCAAAAGAAATAATGGTCTTTAAAGGCTCAGCTTTATGACACTTGACTGGTACCTTTCCCAGCAGGGGTGGGTGGTGCTGCCAGCCTGGTGGCCATGGTAGCTGACCCTTTATGTCACCACCTGTCCCTGAGCTCTATATGCAGGTGGAGCTGCAGCCCAGTGTGGCCTCCTAACTCCTGGCTCTGGATAGCACCTCTGCAGCCCCCACGCCCCCAAAGGAGGGGGAGCCTGACTGAAACCCTCTGTTTACTTCCAGCTCGCAGATTCACTGGTGCCCATGGAGATTAAGCCTGGCATTTCCTTGGCAACCGTTTCAGCCGTGCTGCACACTAAAGATAACAAGCACATTCTTCAGGTATCGTAGGGGAGGGCAGCCGGGCTCAAATACACTAGAAACCTCCAGGACCCGTGACAACTAGAAACCCCCTCCTCAAAAAGGTCCTGGCATTCAGCCAGTTCACAGAACACTGCTTCCCAAACCAACAAACATTAGAGACCAGACTACCTAATGGGTTAGATGTGAAACGAAGGCACTGCATGTGAACTCTTATTTCTCTGGCCATGCGCCTCAGAGAGAAAAGGGAAGAGAAACTATTATTCACGGAGATGGGGCCACAAGTCATCCTAAATGCTGCTCACAGCTCTGGAAGTTTGGCATCACTCAGAGCTCTCGCAGGTATGGCCACTAGACCAGAGCTACTTGAGTGCCCACCTGAGCACTCCAGGGCATTAGGTGGGTGCTGTGGGGGGAGATTTAAAAATCAGCCCAGACAGCGCCTCCCGTGGAGGCCTGGAAATACTAAGCACAGCTGTGGGGCACAGTCAGGGCCCAAGGGCCGGGGCACTGTACGGCTCCACATGTGGGTGACAGCACCTTCCCAGGCACCTTGGACCCCATTGTCATGCAGTTATTGCCTGGTGGTGCAGCTGTCAGCGCTCCTCTGCATCCCCTTTAGAAAAACTCCTTGCAGTGCTGGCCTGTTACTTGTATAGCCCTGCATTATATGCTGATAGCTCCACTCAGTGTGTGCAAGACACGAGCTGGGTCCTCTATGTGCATTTTATTTAATCCTCACACAATTCTCTTAGCACCATTTTATAGGCAGTTTCTCTTTCATTTTCTTGACAAAGATTCCAGGGCCAGGAGGATTATTACTGGTCAGTCTGACCCCAAAGCCTGTCCTTTGTGACCATGCTATTGCTATACCTGCAGCTGCCAACATGGGTTAAAATTTACTCAGAAAATACTGAATCGAATCAATTAAAAATGGATCTTTATCAAAGGAAGGTGTCTTTGCCAAATAAGATGTTGATACTGTGTAGATCATTGGCCTTCGCTTGTTTGTGTTGAGAACTCCAGGTAGAGCCCCTGCTGGTGGAGACCCTGAGTGCAGGTGCCCACAGACTTCACACCACAGGCAGCACCAGGCTGGCTGGGCTCTGAGGCCTGGTCAGGGCAGAGGTTCCCAGAGTCTGTGTGGCCTGCCTGACCTCCCCTGCGCTCTCTGGGAAGTTCTTGCTGATCCATGCTCCCTCTTGCTCCAGCCCCCGCCCAGGCCCGCCCAGCCCACGGGTGGTAAGAAGAGAAAGCGGGTGAGTGATGACATCCCAGACTGCAAGGTCCTGAAGCCCTTGCTGAGCGGCTCCATCCCAGTGGAACAGTTTGTGCAGACCCTGGAGAAGGTGAGCGCGTGTTCGCACCGTCTGCACTGCCCAGGAGCCGTCCTTTCTGCTCACTGTGCCTCCTGGTTATGTTGGTGCTTTTCTCTTAGTCTCCGCTGTCTGAGCTACTGTCCCTGTGGCATCTGCCTGGTCCAAGGTCATGCCAGGGGAGAGTTACAGAGAGGTGAAAGGAGCATGCCCTCCTTCCCACAGCCCTCAGCTGCTTTTCGACTGGCCCTTCCTCCCTGTCAAGTACCAGGTAGTGAGAAGACCGCCTCACCAAATGCCATTTCTTATAGCAACTAGGCTGAGGAAAGGCCTTTCTTTAGAAACCTAGCTGTGACGCATGGGCAGGTGGGAAAGGCCAGGAGAGAGGAGGGTCTGCCCTCTCTGGAGCCTCCCTTCTCACAAGACCCCTTGCTGTCCGAGAGCCAGTGTGGCCATGTCACAAGGCTGAGTGTCAGGAATGGGGGCAGTGTTGTGTGTCCCTGCGAGCTCGGGAAGCAGGGCCCAGCCATTCCTAGGCGGCTGGGAGGGGAAAAGAGAGAAATGGTCCTTCATCTCAGCAGCCAGCCTACACCCTGGTCCTGATGGCTGCTCCTCCCAAGGAACAGATTTCTTAACTGTAATTATAAGAAAAAATTTTTAACCTTAAAGGTTTTTAGAATTTTGACTTCAGTCACAGAACTTCAGAGCTTACTGTTTTAGCATTAGAATTACAGAATCCTTGACAGAAGGAAGGAACTGGCTAAGCATAGTGTTCATGCTGCTGCTTGCAGGAACTGCAACTAACTGGAATACAAAGTTCCGGAAAGAGATTGTTGTCTTTTAAACTGTTAGCTGCTGCCTGAGTTCTTCCGCATCTTAAAGGCTTTCTCGTTGTGGGCATTTGTTCTCTCCATTGGTCATTTAATTTTCCTGGAAGGCAGGGCTTCAGCCAAGTTGTGCAGCCCCCCAGCCCCTCATGAGTACTGTGGGGAGCTCCATGGGCGTCCACGTGTGTAAATATGTCAGTAACTGCCTCCCCGTGACCGTGCAGTGCTCCCGGCCCCTGGTGATGGGACTTGTCCTTGACTTGTTTTTAAAAACCTGAACAACTTGCTTCCCCAGAAAGACTTTTAGTTCTTCTGCCTGGCTCACCTGGGAACTGCCCCCTAGGACCTGACCTGTTCCCTCCACCATCTCTGCCTCATTTCCTGTAGGAGGAGTATTAGTCCCTGCCCCAAACTACAGGTGTGCTTTCTAGAACTAGGTGGAGAATGTCCGTGTCATGTTCTGGACCCATTTTGTGTCCTTTTCAGGCAGATTAGTCTTGTTTCCACTTCTTTTCTCAACATTCTGTCTGATGTGCTAAGCAAGCCCTGTAACTCGCATCAGAGGTGGCTGGAGAGGCATTTGCTCTGCTAACTGGTGTTCTTCTCCCCTGAGAGGGACTTGCCAGGTCACAGGGTCAGTGGTATCCTGCTATGAGGAGGCATTTTCCTAGGACAGGATGGTGCTTTTTCACCAGGGACCATTGGTGTGGCGCAGAGGCTGCCGACGGAGAGCCCAGGGTCCCAGAGTCCTGCCCAGGCACTTGGATGTGCTCCTCAATCCCACAAGCTTACTGAGGTTACGGAAATTCTTAGTTTTGCATGAGATTTTGCATGTTTGGGAGCTTCTTTTGAAGTACAGTCAACCTTTGAACAACAGGTTTGAAGTGTGCATGTCCACTTATACATGGAGTTTTCCAATAAATGTACAGCCAGCCTTCCACATCCCTGGGTTTTGCATCTTCAATCCGCAGATTTTGGTGTCTACAGGGGGTCCTGGAACCAATCCCCTGTGGATACCAAGGGACAACTATGGCTAAGTTTTTAGGGAGTCAGAAATCATATGTGGATTTTCAACTATGCCGACTGGCGCCCTTGACCCTTGCGTTTGAGGGTCAGCTGTGTATGGAACTGTGGTTGAATTCTCTTGCTGTAGAAGGTCCTGGTCTGAAGAATTACACTGAGGAGTGTCAAAAATGCTGGTTTCTAGACTATTGAGTTTAGTCGCCCGGGAAGGGCCATTTCTAGAATCCTCAGCTGCTGAAATACCCTCCTGCCCCTCGATCAGCCCGCTGTTCAGCGTCCCATCAACCTCCCCCTCTTCTCTGTTGAGCAGCACGGCTTCAGTGACGTTAAAGTGGAAGACACAGCCAAGGGCCACATCGTCCTGCTCCAAGAAGCCGAGACCCTCATCCAGATTGAGGAAGATTCAACCCATATCATTTGTGACAATGACGAGATGCTCAGGGTACGATTACGGGACCTCGTCCTCAAATTCCTACAGAAGTTCTGAATGAAACACTGAGATCCCACCATCCTTCACACTCTGCCTGCCCAGCACAAGCCAACTGAGGAAGGGCATGAAAGGTTAGCCAGCCTTTGTGTTCTCTGGCCAAAGGGGAAAAAGGCTCTGAGGCACACTGTCAGGAGCGATGGTCAGCACCTTCTGGTCTGGACTTGTAGTACTGTTTCAGGCAAGAGCTTTTGCTTTTAGACTCATTTTCTTCCCAAGTCTGGCTCTCTTGGGCAGCCAGGATAGTAAGACAGCGAGCTGTGTGGCATAAGAGTGACAGAAGCAGTTTTCCAAGAGGTTAGTGGTGGGAGGGGAGGTAAAACGATGACTGACCTGTTGTCTCAAGTGGCCAGTGTGTCACAGGCCTCAGGCAGGGGAACTAGTGACTTTGTTTTACTTGCTTGTCTACAGTGCTGCACCTCATAAGACAGATGAGCCCATTTTGTTAATAAAACTTATTTTTTATAGAAGTTTTATCTATGCTCTGTTGAACCTACAATTTACACTTATATAGTATCTGAAAAAATGAAAATATTCAGACTAGCATAAACTTAGAAAATAGTACAGCAAATTTTAGTTTGGTAAGAGTGTTCAATTGTACAACCTGGCACTTTTTTAAAATATAAAATTCATGTATTTTTCTTAAATTGTATGAAAAAGTGCTTAACTACATGAGCTGTGCCTCTAATGAAAAACCCCAGCCTTAACCGTCTGGGGAGGGTCCTAAACAGGGGGCGGGCCCTACTAGTTGATCTTTGCCTGTCACTGCCTTTCCCACAGATTATCAGGATTCTCTGCATTAAGCTCAGATGCCCAACGACCCACTAATAACAGTCTAGTAAGCTACTGCATTTGAAATTATGCTGCTTCTGAATTGTTTCAAACATAGCATCATTTGTAACACACATGCCAATTTTGCAGGTAACAACGTGGGGAACACAAGTCTTAGAAATTGGTCGACCCCAGTAGTCGTCCCAGCTCAGCCTGCTGTTCTTAAGCATCACAGAGAGCTTATGTATATGTATATGTGTATGTATACACACACACAATATACAATACTGTATATAATACCATAGAGTTGCTTGGTTAGGTTTTATGGTGACCTGTCAGTTCTCTAGAGTAAGCACATCAGTGGGAATGAGTGCATTAAAGGAGGAAAACAACTTCATTTTTTGCCATTTCCCACTCTGTCAGGCTGTGCACAGGAATGCTGAAATAGGTCCGTTTTCTAAGTAACAAGCCATTCCAATTAAGGGGGACCTATGATGTGTCTACAGAATAGACTCGGGAGCCTTCAACCATGAGAGGGGACGGACATTACAAGAGATTGATGCTCTGTGGCCGAGAAAATTTAGTTTTGAGGATTGTAAACAGCCTCACGTGTAGGTCAGTCACACTTTCTAATAAAACTTTTGAGAGAACTGAGTTAAAGTTTTTTTTAAATCATGAAAATACAAAGTAGAGCTCAAAAGAAGTCAAAACGGTTATTTACTTAAATGTCCTAAATAATGGTACATTCAGGAATGTCTTAGATTTGTCCAAGTTTGCTTTCTGTTAAAGTGCTTGATCAGAGAGCACAGGCATGATCCCATGAGAGGTGGTTATTAAAGAGACAAACAGTATGTAAGTTAGTCACTAAACGGACAGGGAATAATCTAGAAATTATGATGATTTAAATCAAGTTATTCCCACCTTAGTGGTAGGAGCCAGAGGGAGGAAGAAGCAAAGGATCATTCATTAGAGCAGAGAGCAGATCTGGAGCTGGCCTTTCCAAGAGCAGTTATAACTCTATCAGAGTTCAGATATTTGGATCCTACACCATGCGGGTCAGTGGAAGAACCAGAAGAAAAGGCAAACCCACCAGCGAGTGCCGCATGCCACTAATGGGGAGAGGCAGCACCCTGGCCACTAATGCAGACTTGGCAGAGTCTGACACCTGGAAGAATTTCTATTAACCCACAAAGGCTTGGTAAATAGTAATTTTAAAACCATTAAAAATAGTGAGGAGGAACCTGATTTTATATTTATTTTCATCTTTCTAAGAAGTGATGCTGCTATTGTTACTTAACAAATTACCCCAAAACTTAGTGGCTTAAAACAACAAACAATATCTCACCATTTCTGTGTGTCAGGAGTCTGGTGTGGCTTTGCTGGGTGTTCCTGGCTTAGGGTTCTCTGTTGGGCTACAGATGACATACAGTGGTTCAGTACCTTTCCCAAAAACACATAGCCAGTAGTGGCTTCTGCTTTACCATAATACCGTGTGCAGGTATCAGGGAACAGCAGCTGGCCGGGAAGGGAAGATATGCCTGTTAGTCCATTTCTTTTCAAGTAAAGGTAACAACTACTACTCTCTGTGATCCCTGGAGGACTTGAAGCTTTTGGCCCTCTCAGTTGTCCTATAAAGTATAAAGGCAGGAGTTGGCTTTTCAAACTACAATGAAGTATCAATAGAAATAAAAGTGAAGAAACTTCCAAGGTTATATGATAATATATTCATATGAGCCAAGTAAACTCGTGGGTGGGAAAGGGAGTCACTTCTTTGGCCCCAAGTCCCATTTCTCCCCTCCAGTCCTAAGGAAGGTTGAATGTTGTTTCACTGCTTCATGCCACACTATGGGGAGACAGAAAACATCAGATGATCTCAAATTCACTGCAGTGGAACTGTGTGTATATAGCAGTGTTCTTATTTGATCCTAAAATGAGGTAGAAATAACCAACTATAATTCTGGAGGGTCACCACTAAATCCTGGAGCTAGGCAGTAGAGAACTGAGCCAGAACTGTCTAAGTACCACAGTCTCCACTGCTGCTTGGTAGCCTGTTAGCGGTTTTAATCATATCATAAAAACGTTATTTTACCATCTATAGATACAGTGCAATCCTTAGCAAAATTCCAATGGCATTTTTCACAGTAATAGAAAAAACCACCCTAAAATGTGTGTGGAACCACAGAAGACCCTGAACAGCCACAGCAGTCCTGAGAAAGAATAGAGCTAGAGGCATCACACTTCCTGATTTCAAGCCTTATTACAAAGCTGTAGCAATCAAAACAGCATGGTACTATCATAAAAATACACACAGAGACCAATGAGAGCCCAAAAATAAACATACACATACACAGTCAACTAATAATATTTGACAGGGGAGCCAAGAAGACTCAATGAAGAAAGGACAGTCTCCAATAAGTGGTGGTGGGAAAACTGCATGGCCACATGCAGAAGAATGAAATTGGACCCCTACCTTATACCACTCACAAAAATTAACTCAAAAAGGATTAAATACTAAGATGTAAGACCCAAAATTGCAAAACTACTAGAAGAAAACACAGGGAAAGTTCCTTGACATTGGCCTTGGCAACCATTTTTTTTATGACACCAAAAGTGTAAGCAACAAAAGCAAAAATAAACAAGTGGAACCACATCAAATTAAAACACTCCTGCATAACACAGTAAACATCAGCAAAATGAAAAGGCAGCTGCCAAATGAGAGAAAATGTGTGCAAACCATCTATCTGCTAAGGGTTTAATATCCAAAATATATAAAGAATCATACAGCTCAACAGCAAAAAGATGCTCTGATTCTAAAATGAGCAAAGCACTTACATAGATGTTTTCCAAAGAGAGCACACACGTGGCCAACAGGCACATAAAAAGGTGCTCAACATCACTAATGTCAGGGAAATGCAAATCAAACCACAATGAGATATCTATCACCTCATACGTGTTAGAATAGCTGTCGTTAAAAAGACAGATACCAAGTTTTGGCAAGAATGTAGAGAAAAGGGAATAACTGCAGTTGGTGGGAATGTAAACTGGTACAACCACTATGGGAAACAGGATCTCAAAGAGTTATCTGTATTCCCATGTTCACTGCAGCATTATTCACAACAGCCAGTGTATGGAAATAACCTAAGAGCCTGTCAATGGATGAATGATAAAGATGCTGTGATACACACACACACACAGGAATATTATTCAGTCACGAGAAAGAAGGAAATCCTGTAGTTTGCAATAACATGGGTGAACCTTGAGGGCATTATGCTAAGTGAAGTAAGTCAAATAAAGAAAGACAAATACTGTATGGTCTCATATGTGGAATCTTAAAAGGCTGGACTCAAAGAAATAGAATGGTGATGTCCAGGGGCTGGGAAGTGGGAGAAATGGGGAGATGTTGATCAAAGGGTACAAACTTCTAGTCATGATACGAGTAAGTTCTGGGAATCTAATGTACAGCATGATGACTATAAGTAATAATACTGTATTATATACTTAAAAGTTATTAAAAGAATAGATCTTAAAAGTTATCACCACAAAAAGTAATTGTGTTAGGGGATGGAGCTGTTAACTAACCTTATTTCTCAGTGTATACTTGTATCAAATCGTCATGGTATACACCTTAAGCTTACATACGATATATGTCAATGTCTAATTAAAGCTGGGAAGGAAACATTTTACATGTAATAAACATAAGCATTTTGAGTTACAGAACCATAGTTTTTACAAGGTGACTTGCCCACATTTTGTCATTAGGCGTGTAGAGTATTGTTTCTCTTATGTTATCTGAGGCCTCTAAACAAATGGAGATGTAGCTTCTGCATAATAATTCTGTGTGAGGACTTATCTTTTACTTTCTACAGTAAACCACAGTAATGAGTCCTGACCCATTTATAAGTCTTCCTGACATACAACTGTGAACTCAATCACTAATAAAAAGTAACTGAGTCACATAATATACAATAAATTTTGGGTTACTAACACATTATCAACTAAAAGTCTGCTAACATCATTAGATTGTATAATATAAATTTTTAATCTAGTAACTAATGTTCACAATACTTTGAAAATAATTAACTTTGATTTTACAAAGTCTTTTTCAACCATCATTAGGCCCTTCCAATCATCAATGAACATTTATTAAGCACCCATTACATTCTGTGCATTGTCCTGTCTCTGATGACTTGAGCTCACCAGAGTAATAGACCAAATACAAGTTTCTCCCAAACTTCTCACAAGTATAGAGGAGCAAATTTCCAGGACCATGAGCAAAAGATTGTTTATATAGAAAATTCTAAGAAATTCACAGGACAGTTACTAGAAATAATAAGTGAAGTTAGCAAGACTGCAGAATAAAAAGTTAATATACAAAAATCAACTTTTATACACTGGTAATAAATAATTAGAAAGTGAACTTTTTAAAAATAACAACTCTGATACTGTTGTAATTAGTCAATTACTACTAATAGGAAAGGAGCAAAGGGGGAAGCCAGACATTACACGCATGTCATTTGGGCAACTTCACCAGGAAGCTGCAACTTTGCACTCCCCGGGGCACCACTGGCCTATTCCTTGCCAAACACTGAGGGAAGGGATCCAACAAAGGGAAGATAGATGCATGCCCAGTAAAGTTGGGGTGACATAGGGAAGGTATCTACCTGTCAATCATACCTGGGAACACTTGCAAGCATATGAAAATTTGGGAATATGTAACCTCCTAAACAAAGTTTTCTCATTACCTTCTTGTGCTCTTGGCTCAAGCTTGGCTTCCTTGCATTTGCCCTTGTTTCCTCCATAGCCATGTGGACCTGCGGACCCCACATGCAATGGACTGATGGATTGCAACTGGGAACACAAACTAAGCTAGTCTGATGCTGGAATGAATTGCTCCAACATGGAACAGGAGCTCTGGCTCTGATTTTAGCCCTGCTAAAGGCAAAATGGGACTTCTTCCTTGGTGGGACTGAGGGAAATGAAACCTTGGAAACTTTGATTCCACAGAAATAAAGCTTTCTACAATATTGCGTCCCCCCGTGCGAGTCTCAGAAAATTCTTTTTCTCAGGATATTGCAAGAAATCCACTCCCACTAGCAACTGGGAGAGATGAGGACCTCTCCCTCTGTTAACACTATGACATAGATGAGTCTTAAAAACATGCTAAGTAAAATAAGCTGGACACAAAAGACTCAATAGTGTATGATTCCATTTATATGAATGTCCAGACCAGAAAAATCATAGAGAAAAAATAGAGGTTATCAGGGACTGAGGGGAGGGAAGGGGGGAGTGGGCAGTTGCTGTTTAATGGGTACAGATTTTCCATTTGAGAAGATGAGAAGATGAAAGGTTGGGTGGCAATTGCTAGTGATGATGGTTACACATTGTGAATGCCACTGAACTGGACACTTAAAAATGGCTAAAATAAAAAATATGGCTAAAATAGCCCTGGCTGGTGGCTCAGTTGGTTGGAGCATTGTCCCATACACCAAAAGGTTGCGGGTTCAATTCCGGGTTAGGGCGCTTACCTAGGTTGTGGGTTCAATTCTTGTTGGGTTGTGTGTGGGAGGCAACTGTTCCATGTTTCTCGCATTGATGTTCCTCTCCCTTCCTCTCAAGAATCAATAAAAATATCCTTAGGTGAGGATTTTTTTTAA